TATTTTAATCATCTATTTCTGTTTTTAGATCGTTACATGAACTTGCGCACAGTATTAGTTTGCTGTAATGCACAACATTTCTCAACAGAAGTGAAGAAAAATACAGTTGAGATTTGGATATTGCTTCAGATGGAATAACACAGCGTCATACGATGCACTACGGAGTACCTAAATTATCATGGTTTCTGTCCACTACAGTATAAGAAGACGTTGGTTAAATGTTTGTTTAAGCGCATTTACCGTATATGCACTACCGATACAATTGAAGAAGAAAGACAACACCTCACTGAAATATTGTTAGACAACAATTACCCACTGAGATTTATTAGACGTTACGGAAGTGTCAACCATAGAGCTTTACCAATCCAATCAGCTCCCAAAAGGGATGTTTACATATCCTTACTGTTCAGAGGTGATCAACAAATTCTAGTCACTAGACAAAGACTAAAGGCCGCAATCAATAGAACCTATTATGCAGCTAAACTTATCTTCATAGAGAAAACGAGGACTATGCTGTTCTGTAAACCCTCACATCATCCGAACGATAGTGTCACATCCCACTGTGTTTGTCAATTTACATGTATGTGTGGAGACACGTACATAGGGAGGACCCATCGGTCTCTGCAGGCTAGGGCTACAGAACACATTCCAAAGTGGCTGCAGCAACAAATGAAATCACCAGACACAATTGAACCCGGAAATAGATGTCCAACATCATCTATAGCCATGCAAATACGCATTGGTGACACAAGTTGGCAGTTTAGCCGCACATCGCGAATCGGTGGATTTCAGAATTCATAGGCTTGCGGATTGGGTTTCAGTGGATGAATGGTTAACGAGATCATCCTGTAACTTAAAGGTCCCTAGTTAGGTCATAGCCGCGTACTGCTGAACAGTTTCAAACACCAGTGAAACAGGTTTCCAATGGTTCTCTAACAGTTGTCAGTCAGGTCGTGATAAATCTTGATCTCAATCAAACTCCGGGCAGAGACACTTGAAAGTTATTACATCTAGAAGGGCATTTGCTAATTCGTATTACAGAAAAGGGAACAAGAAGTATAAATACTACATAGTGAACAATAGATAGAATCAAAGTCTATTTATACACACTATGACGGAAATTTGGAAAGGAGTAAGCGGGAATGTAAAGTAATATTAAGTAAAAGTAGAATTAATACATAAACATATGATTCAGAGTAAATTGGAAGAATAATACTGAGTTCAGCTCAGTAACTGAATATGGGTATGCAAGATTCCCATGTTATGTAATTGAGAACACTTAAACCATTAAACAGATCCTCTCTTTGCATAACCCAACCTTAAAGCTGTGCAGTTATTTAAAGGGGTGTGTTATGTAATCACTGTTGCATAATAGGTTCCTGCATAATCTGAGCTCATGTTTTTATTTTTATTATTCAGTGGTTCTGATCACACACACACGAGTACTTGTCATACACAGTTTTTATATAATGCAAGGAGGCATGAATAATCACAATACAGGTCAGATTGTATACAGGTCAAGGTCACAAATAATGGGTAGGGAGACACAAAAGGTGTGGGTAAGAAAGATAAAAGGAGAAAAAACAAGGCAAAGAAGGGGTTGAAAATCAATCCTTGGTTCTAAATTGAATTACCAAGGCAGGTTTAAGGTGATAACAAATAATTTTTGGACACATAAGACAGGTTTAAGTCTTTTAATGGCTAAGGTTTCAAAGAATTTAAGTATGTGGCCCAACCTTGTTTTATATATCGGCTTAAAGGCACTGTTGAAATCAACCTTATGACCCGTCTCTATAATATGCTTGGCTACAGATGATGTTGGACATCTATTTCCGGGTTCAATTGTGTCTGGTGATTTCATTTGTTGCTGCAGCCACTTTGGAATGTGTTCTGTAGCCCTAGCCTGCAGAGACCGATGGGTCCTCCCTATGTACGTGTCTCCACACATACATGTAAATTGACAAACACAGTGGGATGTGACACTATCGTTCGGATGATGTGAGGGTTTACAGAACAGCATAGTCCTCGTTTTCTCTATGAAGATAAGTTTAGCTGCATAATAGGTTCTATTGATTGCGGCCTTTAGTCTTTGTCTAGTGACTAGAATTTGTTGATCACCTCTGAACAGTAAGGATATGTAAACATCCCTTTTGGGAGCTGATTGGATTGGTAAAGCTCTATGGTTGACACTTCCGTAACGTCTAATAAATCTCAGTGGGTAATTGTTGTCTAACAATATTTCAGTGAGGTGTTGTCTTTCTTCTTCAATTGTATCGGTAGTGCATATACGGTAAATGCGCTTAAACAAACATTTAACCAACGTCTTCTTATACTGTAGTGGACAGAAACCATGATAATTTAGGTACTCCGTAGTGCATCGTATGACGCTGTGTTATTCCATCTGAAGCAATATCCAAATCTCAACTGTATTTTTCTTCACTTCTGTTGAGAAATGTTGTGCATTACAGCAAACTAATACTGTGCGCAAGTTCATGTAACGATCTAAAAACAGAAATAGATGATTAAAATACTAAAAATTGGGGAAAAGTTTCTGCATCATACCCGATGGAAATCTAGGTAGCCCAATGATTTAAACAGGACGCCAGATTTTGGATACTGGAACATACTGAGACTAAAATTGTCAACGTAATAAAAACACGGCGCATGAAGATATTTTAACCACACTCACAGTTACTAATCCAATATAGCCAACTTTTATTTCATATCACCAAACTAAAAGCTCACCACGTCTCCTCCATTTTTCCTTTTTACTTCTACCTGAATGATATCAGGCAGTAAAAGTTGTCGTAGTCACTTGAACAGAATGAGTAGCACATTCTAGGCTATTGGAATCAGTGTTTGATGATAGCTACTCTGCATTACGTAGCAGTTTTGCAATATATATATATATAAATTAGTTATAGTGAGTGGTTGAGAAAGAAAGCAAATTGATAGTAATGACGAAACGATCACGTTATATATTGAATAACTGTCACCAGCTCAAGGCGGTCTCTTTTTGTATACACAGGTTATATTGAGCCCACTCAATGGCAAATGATTCAACAAAACAGAACGATGCGACACTATACTCCTCGGAAATCAATAAAGAAAACATGATGGCAGTGGAGAAGAGAGCTGCTGGAGTTCATTCTTGTAGCTAAACTCTTTCTTAATCACAACTTTTACTACTTTTATTGTTATTATTAAAACATAAACTCGGCACATTTCAGGAACCAAGAGATGCGCCACACAAAATTTCATAGTTTGTGTGAGGGCTGGGACACTTCCTGGACGCCCAGGCCTAAGTAGGTGGTTGTCTTGAAGGGTCACCCCCTCTGAGAGTCTGACCTGAAATCTGATCCACAAAGCAGTAGAACAACGTCAGGAACCAAGTTCTCATGGTTTCGGGTGACTAAAATAGGTTCATACGCCATTTATCTTTTCGGATCTCAGAGCCCGAGCACACTATATGTTTGGAATAAGAGTTTTTCAGCTGTAATAGCTAGGTCAACTTGCATGCCCATCAGCACAGTTGTAAGCGCCAGACGTTCAAAATCACTGTGTTACTTTTGTCTGGAACACCCTCCCCTCGTGAAGGCACTTAACAGGACTTACCTTGAAGAGGCTATAGACGCTCGGCCACATGAGATGATTTCAGGGGGAAGACCTAAGCCTACCAACCCTGGGGTGAGAGAGGACAGGTAACCATCAAAATTTACTACCAGCCACTTTTACAATCCATATTTACATGCCAGAGTAAGTACATTAGAAGCAAAATGGTGGATATTCACTTGATTCTCTGAAAATATTCCCAAAAGATTGAGATTCGAAGGTACCTAGCGCAGAGCCAGTTGTAGTCCCTCGAAAACTCATAGATTTGGCACACATAGTGAATTTGGGACTACCTGTATACCAACAGCAAAGAAGTTTAGCATCACTTCGTTCTCTTTTGTTGAATCGATTGCTATTAACTGAGTTCAATATAGTCTGTGTATACAAACAATCAAATAGTGTTTAAGTACTACTTACCCCAGTGAAAATTATTCAACAAGTAATATGATCGTTTATTCTGTGCTCTCTATTCGCTTACTGGTCTGGAAGATCCTGAAAGACAAGACCTCATATCTAAAAATTCTATTTGCAAATATCAGTTCACATGTTACTGTGCAGGTAGGTGTATATTGGTCGTTCGACGCGTGTCCTGTCTAAAATGGTTCAGGAAGACTATCCTACATGGTTGCGGAAAATGGAAGTGGCTGTATGAGGAGTGTGACAGTTAAAATCCATGTGAACCTGGTCATTCCATCCCACCTAAACCCCTCCTTCAGATTACGCCACAAAGTGAAGAACAACCTGTCAAAGAGAGCATGATTTCGCCTCCTCAGTATTGCTAAAGCTCTAGCCGTTCAAATAATAAAGCCGGGGCTATACGTAATAAAGAAAACTATTCAGCTGCTTCTGCTGTGATGGTTACAACCGTGTTATTGTCTGCCAACTTCATTTTGGTCTGTTTGTGTTTAAACTATGTGTAAGTCTTGTATTTCTTTATAACTCTTATGTAACTTTATACTTCCCTTAGTTTCTGTATGCATCTGATTCACTAGATTTTTCATCTTATTGTGTAACTCCAACACCCTTATTCAACTCCTTTTATATATTGACTTATATAAACAAAACTGACCCTGACAACTGATCACTTTTGTTACTACCTTCTTCCTATGAAAAGAGACTGATTGTATGTAGACGCGATTGTACAACTAAAGACACTGAAATTGCCGAAAGAAGCCCCTTCAACACTGAACTATTTGTCTTTTTTTGCTTAATGTCTGGATGGGGCTCATCCATTACACAGGCATTCTAAAATAAAACAGATTGGCGATTGTATACACAGATTACTGATCTACGCTGATTTATGTTCTTCCTTTTCTAACCTTCTATTACTGAAATGAAAGATGCTAGATGTTTATGTGAAAAAGGAACAAAAAGGAATTTCAAAGAACTTACTCGTTATAAAGACTATCAAAATTATTTCTTGGGGATTCATAAACCGAACCTTGTGTATCCCAAGGAATTATTTGAAGGGAATCTAATCTTGCATTTTTCAAACCGGGAGAAACTCTTGAAAGGTCAATGTAGTAGCCTTTAGTACGTTGATAACAAGCTGACAGTAATTGAGTTACGCTTCTTGGATCATTAAATACGGCATAACAATGGCCTAATACAAAACATGTGAAACAACAATGAGTTATTAAGCGTTGGTCTGCAGGAATCTGATTGCCTACACTTTTGATCACCGGCTTACATCAAGCAGAGGTCCACTGGAAAACCAGGAAGTTATCTGGAATCCAAATGACAGGCTCTGACCGGTAGGACCCACCAAGTATGGTAGGTTATTGGCCGAAAGCCCCGCTATATATCGTGAATCAACGGAATTTTGAATTCATCTGTCACTGGGTCAGGTCCCAGTGGATGAATGTCCTGCAAGCTCGCTTTGTGACCGGAAGATCGTGGTTTCGAATGCTGGTGGGAGAGTACTGATGAAAGTTCCCCAGCTAGGAAGAAACAGCCGTTCTGTACTCTCTGGTTTTTCAGTAGTTTTCATGTTTAAACACATTAAATGTGAAATGGTTTTGTAGTGAATTTCTGAGTTAGCCTTAGGCTGGTAGAATGTTAACATAATAATAGGTAAAGAATGAAAGATGAAATAAAATGACAGCTGGATATCATCTGTGGTGATCCCAGTGAATTGGCAGTTTGGTCGATAATTAGTGGGTAGCCACTGTCTCGAATTCTGCAGGAACTTTGACATTTGGGATATATAAGTTGAATTTGTGACTGCACGAATGAGAAATGTCAGTTTACACTCTCTTTACAAGTCAGATTCACCATCGTGAGTTGTGTTAACCCGTAATAACAGGCATAGGATTTTCCCGTGATTTATGTGTCACGAATATATGTGATTGTTTAATACTCCATCCAATCAAACAAAATCCCTACAAAACCAATACTTGAAGATTAATAGTAGACATTCGTCCATTTATTGGCTACACCTTAGGATATAAGTTGAATATAAACGTTTAGGTCTTTGCATGCGTCATAAGACGTAGGTGTGTAACTTCTATATACGAAAATATGTAATTAACTTACACATAAAATCAAATCCATCATTTGTAAATTACACTAACCGAAGTGCGAAAGTACCACAGGTAACTTTGAAAAGCAAAAGCATTCACATCACAGTATGTGATTTACTTGATGCAATTAATGGTAATCAAGAAAGCCAGAATCAATGCATGATGCTATATATTACTAACTGGTTGATTAGTATGAGTAGTTGAATACCAATCGTATTGAGCAGTTGTCTTTGCCAGCTATGTTGAAGTGATCTAGAAACTCTTCTGGATGCCAGCTTATCAGCGGTGTACGTGGCTTTGTTTCAGCTAAGACAGCCAAATCAGTTCAAACACCTGAATTCTGAACAGCTTCGTGGGCAGGCTGGTGATACTACTACTATTTGACATGAGTGGTTTCCAATTATTCATATTGGTCAGTAATCTGTACCTTAGTGAAATTTTTTCTGCCTTCTTAATTGCCGTTTATGGTATCAAGCACATCGCATATTTTGGTGATCTCATTTATTTCAGTTTCCAGAAGAAAGTGTGGTGATCTTCGTCCTTAAATTGTGTTATTTGCCAAATAGTGGATCTGATTGTGTGCATTATTATTTCGCCCATGTGACTGGCCAAAATTCGGATGGTTTGAAGTGCTTCATCTCTGTGATCAGAGTCAAACCGAGTAGGCTACTGACGAAAGTGGTTCTAAACGAGGGAAACGGCCGTTAACCAGTCTTACGATCACTTCTATATAGCTAATCAGTATTATGCGAAAATGAAATATACCTTTTCAAATTTCGCTACTAGCTAATATCACACACATATATGTAAAGTCGTATATAAATAGCTAAAATTGCATTAATTACCTCGTTTCCAACAGTTTTTCATAGATGTTTCATGATACTTTTGACTATATGGTATTACAAATGTTCTTTTTGGCCAGATTATATTAACTTGACCGAATATAAACAATGCTTTGTAAAGCTGATCTCTTGTCATTGTTGTTACGTTATTCTCTAACATTGGAATACCACCTATGAATACTTTACGTGATAATCTGTTCACTGGTAAAGGCGTGAAACAGTGCATATTTGCAGGGTGACAAGAGGATAATGATGATGACGATTGGCAAGGGAATTGATGTAATTCAAGATATTTTGACATATTCAACTGATATATTATTGGTTGATTTACAGAAGAGGCCGTAGATGATTCTCTGTTGTGCTGACAGTTTGATATTGCAATATTTGATGCAGTTCGATTGATGACCTGGGTACATGAATTGGTTGAGTTCAACTTTTCTACACTCTTAGGTGGTTGACAAGCTTGACAAAAACAGAGGATAGGGGGGAAAAGATTCAGTAGAGAAACACATGGTGCGTTAAAAAAGAGTAATGTAGATGGTATATTGATCACACAGTTAGACAGTATTACTTACCAGACGACAAAGCTTTAAACACAATTTATCGTCGACAGTCATATCACTTATAATTGCACAACTTCGAAACTTGAGTTTTATGATTTTCTTCATTCCTTCCCACTCATCTCAGGGAAGTAGAATTTTCCAGATGTCCTGTTGGACAGGTATTGAATCATTTCTGTTGCACGTATTGTCAGTTGATTCGACAAGCAAAGTTTCTGCTATCAATCTGTTCTCCCCTCCACCGTGTTATATTAGATTTTAAGCTCGCTATCTTTTCTTATCCTATTGTACGGCTGTGTATGTGCCTATAACTGCATGTAGTGCTATTGCTGGGCTATTTTCTAGGTTTCTTACATCATTATTGTCAACTAGTTAGGATTCTGTTAGTCTTATATGCTCCGCTAACCTAATTGGACTGGTCCACTCCTCTCATGTGTGTATTTGACTTCACAACCATTGCAGGGTATTAGTAAACAAATTATTTCGTTTAATGGGCTCCAAAGCATTTTTTAACCAACACTGCTTGTTTCTATGTAATTTTTTGGGTTTCAATACCACTTTTATTCATACATTATCGAGAATTCTACCTAAGATTTCAGTAATTCATTTTGTGTATGGCAGTACTACTGCTGATTTAAATTCCCTAATTGTTATGCATATTATTCTTATTATTGATTCTATTTTTGCAATTTTCCGCATACTCCCTGATTAATTTCTCAGAGTAATTGCGGAGTATCAAGGCTTTTCTTATGTCTTACTCCCTACCTTAGATTTGTCTTGATACTATTGAGCTGTTTTGCCACATTACTTAAACCTTTCATCAATCCCATTTTTACTGACATAGGATGAGATGGACTGAAATCCAAATATGGGTTCAGCTGTGTAGGTTTTCTGTGAATACTAGCGTTTAAATTCCCATCTTCTTTCCTTTCCATGCTACAGTTTAAATTCGGAAGATCCCCTTTCTGACTAAATAGTTCATAACTGAAGGGAGTTGTCTCTACTTTTTAGTTGATACGTTGAAAGAATCAATTTATATCCTGTGTTTTTAATACTCTGAATGTATTATCTACATACCCTCACCTTACTTTGGAGTGGGGTTGAATATTTCAGATGCTAAGTTTCCCCACTGTGGGGGATACTGACGACCCCGTAGTAATTCATTCAGTTTCCTTGGAAATTTTTCCTTGTGATTTAAATACCGTATAACTCCTACATAGCTGCATTGCTAACATGGTGTCTTCAAGTGGTACATTGATTTCAAATCCAAGTTCTAGATCAGAAATAAGTTCTTTCCTGACCACTTCTATTGCCATATTAATCACCTGTACAGTTGGAAATAGTATTGTCTAGCTGCAGAACACTTTGTTAAGTGGGTGGGAAATAGTTCACAACCGTCATCCAGTGGTTACAAATCGAGTGAACCTACCTAGACTAATGACTCACAACTCTATATCATTTAATGATGATTCACCTTAACTCTACATTTACTATCTCATAAGATTAAGGAACAAATAAAAGCAAATATCCAGAATGAGAGTTCAAAAGATGAATGCACTGTGCATATAGAATAAATATATTATGAATGTTCTAGTTCAGAGTGTTTAGCGCATTGCAGTTATGACAAATAAGTATATACATCTTGTAAACATTTTGATAAATTTAAGTAAGATTCTTTGCATAAGAGTAGGCTGATGTAGTTCAGTGCTCTCATATATGACTTGGTACAGTCTTAGATGACTAGAATCCAGTCTTCATCTCTAAATACTTCCATGTAGTCTGGCATTAATGGTCTCCCTCATTCAGGTTAGTCCCATACACTGCCTCCACGCGGCAGAGATGTTCCTCGCAAAAGTGAAAGTGTGAATGCAAATATCTGGAGATTACAACAGGATTAGTGGAAATGCCAGCTGAACATCCCTGATTTAAAACCTACAGTGCAGGTAGAATTCGGAATCCGAATGGACTGACTGTTTTATGAACCTATATCGGTCGCCAGTATTTCCTGACTCTGCTCCATTTCCCGGTGGATCAGACTTCATGTTAGGGTCCAAGCAGGTGGACAGCTCCTTAAGATAACCATAAGCTCTTCTCTAGGCGTCCTGCCAGTATCCCATCCTTTGCACAAATTATTGGACTTTATGTGAGGCATTTCTTGGTACTCATGGTGTACCAAGTACCTGCTTCAATAAATGATAACAGTCACTAGCCAAGTAGATGAGTCTTTTCCATTTGAAACGATGGATGGAGACTTTGAGTTTTTGTAACTTTTTGTAATTCCTTCTAGTCCTACCTGATGAGATGCAACGGAGGAGGTGATGTGTGTAAATGAGATACTCAAAGACAAATAAAATTATATTTGCCAATTTTTTGCAGTACTCCAAGTATCTGCCCAGAAGAGTATTAACGAGTTGATTTAGCGACACTCCACCCACCCTACCAACAGCTCTTAGTGCTTTTCTCAATGTGAAAAAAACAACCTTTGCTAAGTTGTCCAGAAAAGGTTAAGGTTCAGAGATAAAAATGACTACGTGGAATACGAGAGTTATTAAACTGTAAAAGTAGAGACTGACTGAGTGATACCACATTGTCTTAACTTTCGTATGTATAAGATTAGGTGAAATATCTTTCTAAAAATTAACATGATGTGATAAGACTAAGAAGGATCAGAGGAAGGACCCGATTCAAGGAAGCTATTTAAAATTCATCTTGGTTTCAACTTAAGCACCTTTTATTATACAATGATCATAGGAATGAATTAGTTCATGTAAATCACGCTTATCTTTGAAAGTGAAATTAACACTATACCATCAGTGTATATCATCAGTTAAAGAATCAGATATACTGTCAGGGAATGTAAATCAAACAAGGTTGAGCCACATGAGAAGTGTGAATGTGTTGTGCCTGTACGTAGTTTTGGAACTGAAAGAAACTTGAAAGCAATCAGAAACCTCTAAATGATAAGTGTTACCTATGTTTAATAATCCCAATGTACTAGATCCAAATACATGAACTAGGACTGCCTGTAGCAAAGCCAGTTTTAACAGCCATTCAGTGTGTTGCAAAACGACTTAAAAAGCGGATAACATGGTGATCTGGTGAGTGTACGAACTATCGCAGTTAAACTTAAGACTTTAATTAGCAAGAATAACGTTTCGGGTTGTGGTCTACAATCGGTGGTTACAACAAGCTGAAAAGCTGATTATTATTCGGAGTGAAAATATTAGCTGAATACAGATTGCTTATTTTATTTCAAATAATGAAACTCCTATATTTTGGATGTTTGTGATTTCTCCGTGGCTATAAATACGGATGACCATGGTCTTTAAGAAAACTTAATAAATTTTCCTAAAACCATTGGTTTTCTTTTTCTTGGCGAAACGTATGTTAGTACAATTAGAAGATTAGGTAACAAAGTAGGATTTTCTGTGATTGAATTGGGTTTCGGATTAATATCGCGCTTCTAACTGTTATAACCCTATGGATATAGGTTTTCCCTCATGGTACATTATGATATCTAGAAGTCATAAACACACTGTCTTCGGTAAATTTATTCTTACTTTTTAAGTGACTGCAAATAATGAGTCATTTGAGGTGATAGGATGAATACCTCTAAACGCTTTCGTGGAGATTAGGATATATTCATTTTTTTCGACTAGGAGGCGATCTTTTTACCAAGAAGGTTGTCAAGATGTCCGCTTTTACTTTGAAATATAAAGATAACGTTAAGTTGCTCTCTAAGGTAGTAGCTATGGGAGATTGCCTTCAGTGGAAACCACTTTAAGGTAACTACGTAGCTTTAGGTAATACTTCATAGAAGTAAGCAGCGTAGTTTAATTGTGTCTAAATATATTAAACGTTGTATAACTGGTCAAATCGTAGCTCTTGCATACCAGTTAGTCTTATAAATAATGAATGCACCGTACAAACGTTTACTTTGATTTGCATACCTAGCTCATAAGCATTATACCTGCATGTGGTGTACATCTAAGGCTGGTACGCTGTGTGATGAGTTCTGCGAAGTACGGTACTATCATGATTACAGCAAGAAGAACAGGTCAAGTATAGGTAAGATGCACGAACTGACAAACTGTAAGAGGAGGGGATAAGTTATGCTTGAGTGCCACAACTTCCTAATGTGAACAGTCAGACGAAATACTATTTTAGAAATCGCTAAGACATCAGAAGACCAGGATTGGTCAGAAGAAAGAATTAATCCAAGATACTTAAAGTCAGACTTGATTTCTATATCACTGTCATCAATTGTACTACGGTAATAATAATTAACAGCTTCATTTAACTTTCTTTTGCATCTAAAACTGAAATTAACCGCCTGACTTTTGGGAGGATTTAGTTTAAGGCCGTTAGAAGAAGGCCATTTGCTAATTCCTGATAGAAAGCTGTTCATCCTAGTACAGTCTAGCTGGGAGTTAACAGACACTGAAATAGTTAGATCATCGGCATACTTAACAAAGTAGATATTCAAACACTGCAGTTGTTGATCAAAGAAATGATGGATATTAGATAACATCACATGATTCAACAGCATGTCAGAAATAAATAAAAATTGTTTCTTGGCTCGTCACCAAGTAGACAGTCTATTTGATGATGCCACTGCACATTAACTGATTAATGAAGTAGCTATCAACCCTAATTTACTACATTTACTTGTACTATATACTTGGCGTTTAGCAGTATACAAACTTGCAACTGGCTAAATAAGGCGACTTTAGCGTGACGA